TGAGAAATCCGGCGGAGTTCAGTTGTAATAAAAGAACAAGATTCTGTTCTAATGGTAATGGCGTATGACAGACATATCACTTTGTCTGTCCCCGGCACCAGAGAGAGGAGAATTGGAGAAAGGGCACCTGACCTGCCGGTGGTGGTGCACGGATGCTGTACTGAGCTTTGAACTCCAGCCTGGAAGCACAATTATTTATAATGCTAAATGATAAAGAAACCTTTATCGAGCCTACAGTAATTAGAATAAAGCTTGTACAGTAGTGCAGTGGCCTGGCTCAGAAAACACGCTGGCAAATCCATCGCAGTGGCAGAAACTGATGCTTACGTGTGGAAACTAAACACCTTTGTTTGTGTCCGTGTGGACTTTCCTTTGCTTTTTCAAAGCTTGCTTGTGTTCAACAGCTCCAAAAGTTTATTGTGTTTGCTGATTTCTTTTTAATTATTTTTTTTTCAGCTGTTGCCAGGGAGTATCTGTCTGAGTTTCACAGTCATTTTTTAGTATTTTTTTTAATCCCCAGCAGCCACTTGGGTTTTGAAGTTAGTTCGTGGTGGGCTTTCTCACTGTTACTGTACGTCAAACCTCCACAGATGAACGGTTAATGCCTTAGACAAGCTTTCAATAGATGCTGTTTGCTGAATCTCTATTTTCAGCCCACAGTTTACACTGGCGCAGCTTTGGTAATACACTCGAGTGTTTGGAGACAAGGAGACAGCCTTACCTGAGAGTGTGTCAAGCTACTGGCAAACATCTAGGTCACTTCGGAAAAGCTGTGTTTTTTTCCCTCTTGTATAGTGTTAAAGTTAGCGTGCTGCTCTTTGCAAGGATTCTTCAAAGTCGGCCTTAGCAGCAGATGGAACAACTGTTGGCTCTAGAAGTGCTGAGAAGCATCAGGGGGAGTTTGCCAAGGATCATCCTTTAAATCTAGTAAGACTTAAACACATCCCTGAAACTCCTCTAAGACCTTGGCAGCTCCCATTTTGGCAAACCTTTTATCAGTGGCCCTCACCGGTGTTTGGACATTGTGCTGAGCAGACCACCCTGGCATCTTGTTGTCTCATTCGCCTTTCAACAGATGTGACCTGGAATAGTCAAATTCACTTCCTAGGCTTCTGTGCTGTAACTTTTAGGAAGCCACGGAGTAGAGATGCCATTATGCTGTGCTGCACACATTCTGTCAAGTTTTGGTTAGGAAACTGAGCTGGTGTCGTACATTCTTCCAAGAAGAAATCTGTGCCAGAAAAATTGATTTAAGAAACAGAGCTAGTGGAGCCTGTCCAAAAGAAAATGCGTGTGTCTTGCGGAAATGGATTTTAACACAGCTTTTTCTTGAGCAGTTTTAAAAACAGCCGGTATGCTAATCATACCATTCAAATTTACCAAGGCCTCCTCCACAACCCGTTTGAAAGGCAACTATCTTTGAAGTTTGCCAAATTGTGCTGGATTTCCAAAGTCTGTCTTAAGCACGTTTTGCCTTTGATCCTGTAAATGCTTGCATGCTGCTCTGTTGGGTGTTCAAGGTGGTGACATGCTCCCTATAAGCAGGAGAGAACAGGCACAGGTGAAGATAAGGACTGGGCAGAATAACTCACCAGTCCATCTTGTGATTAACTTCAAGCCTCTTGCTCATACAGAGCCACACAGGAGATAAAAAAAAAAAAAAAAAAAGCAATGTTAGAGTATGTTTATCTGAACAGTGACCTTTACCATGCCACCAGGACTCTCACCTGATAGCTACAGTCTTCACTGACTTCAGACGAGGTGCAGCGTGCTCCTGAATAAGGACAGCAACATCACCCTCACTTGTAAACAGTCAAGGCCCTGTTCATTCCTGCCTTTGCTCCTTGCTTTTTGTGTTGCACATATAAATACAGCATCTAGTGCCTGCGTGATGCAATATCTTAGCCCTTTCCATGTAACCTTTCAAGTACAGTAATTCTGGAGTGGATTTTCAATGTAGATTGTAAATGTAGCTAAATGATTCTCTGTATTTAATGGAGCACAGTGCACTGTCTGTAGCATCTGCTGAGAAACAGGAGCTATTCAGTGTGAAATGTGACAGGAGAGAATTCCTGGGCACTTTTCTTTTAACCTTGTTATGACCTCATCCCCAACCCTACTCACAGTTGTGTCTCCATCAATGGCAACAGCACACAGATTGTCCAAATCAATTTTTTTGTTCTTTTCAAATACTTCTGGCAGTGATGTTACTATTTGCTCAGCAGTAGCACCTGGGAGTTGTGACAAGGAAAGGAAATGTATTTCAGACAAGCCAGAAACAGCACTAAGCAGTTGGATATACACAATCAGATTCTCCTTGACTGCAATATCCAGACAAATACCAGTGTGAATCCTTAACTGAAGATGGTACTTTATTTTCACATTAGCTGATCCTCTGATCACCAAAGTAAACATTGAATTGAAAATTTTTCGTGTCGGCTATAGTCAGCAATAGAACCGCCTTTGACTTGGAGCTTGCCCCTCTGCCACAGCATAAATTGGCCTTAAAATGGCCAGAGATTCTCCAGGGGAACGGCTTCCATTTTTGAGGAATATCTACTGATGATGCTAGAGTTGCTGGCATGTGTACAGCTGTGTCTTGCATCCTGCTTAGAGTATAGAAAAGGACCAACAATGTGCTTGCTCCGTTCTTACTGGGGCAAGACAAGCCCGGAAACAAAACTACAATTGAGTGACTGTTGTCTTTCTTACCAACTACATCTGATACTAAGGACAAGATAAAGAATAGGAGTCATTGGATGTGGGAATTTTAATTCAGACACACCACAGGCTATGTTATTAGGAAAAATAAGTAAACTATTTACTATGGGGAGCTGGTTGGGGGTTTTCCTGTCCCAGTCAAAACTGATGATGGGACTATACTTCCCAGTTTCAGTAGGAAAGCTTTCTTGACTAAGCATAAAAATATAATGAAGAAATAAAAGAAGAAAAAATCTGAAGGAAAGGAGAAAGAAAAAAGGCCCTAAAATGGCCTGGTAATAAGAACACTCATCTAGATGATATTTTTGATTCTACTTCGGGCAAATTGTTGACTTGAACTTCCTTTTAGGTGACTACCCTAAGCAGCCCTGTTAACTTGGGTGTATTTGTCTCCCTTTCCCTCATTTCTCTCTTTTTGTGTGATAGTGCAAAATGTGAGAACTTATCCTGGGGAGATCTTAGGCAAAACGGTAAGCTCCATTATGTACGTAGCTGCATCAGCTTGCTTGCCACAGCAAGCTTTGACTATT